GGAATTATTCTATGTAAGATTTGGAATTGAAGTTTTGATTCTTGGGTTGTTTTGAAAATAAGCTCAAAATTTTTTCTCAGTACTTTTCACGAAATTCTTCCCCATTTTCACTCCATTTTATAACTGAAGTTATATTGCCCTTCTTATTCTTAATGAGAACATTATACATATCTTTACATCCTTTTTTACTCTTTAAGAAAATCTCAAGGCTGGATGGAAGCATAGTTCTAGGAGTTGGCTTTATTTCATAATTTTTTAAACAGGATAGTCTTATTCTAATTGCTGTTCTTAGTCCTGCATATTCAACATAGTTTGTATTTACTTTCATGTTATTTTGAATGAAATAAAAACTGTAAAAGTTTTCATTTAAATCTAAGAAATCATTGATAAAAACAAAACCCAAATTAAAGTAACTTTTGATGAAAATTGACTGGCCCCCAATGGTTACTTCTGAATTATGCCAGATGTGTTCTTGAAGAGGTCTTAAATCATCTATAGCTTTAGCCTGATTTACTTTACACCAGCTGAAGGATACATCTTTTCAAAACTTATTTTTCATGTACTACTCAGATTCTTTATAAAGTAAATTCCAAACAGCCAAAGATGACTTGTACTTATTCCCAATTCTTCTTCAAGCAATTAAACCCATTTTGCACTTGAGCACTATTTGGTGTTTTTTATTGTGGTAATGTAAGTTTAATTTGTGTGTAAATTGCAATGACGTGTCTCGTAGGATTTTTTTATGAAGCATGATTCCATGGTATTAAATATACGATACCACTCACGTTGAAAAATGCCCCCCCCCCCCCCCCCCTAGATATCTGATCTCCACCTTTTCTCTTTATTATATATCAAAACTTGTAGATGGAGAATATTGAGATAACAAACGGTATTCAATATCAAAGTCCATAAAGCAATACAAAACATTAGCAGAGCAAACACGGACCTCGAAAACATCAGAGGTGGTATTGGGTGCCATGGCATAATCGGGAAGCAATGGAAAAACCCGTCGTCAATTCAGTGTATAAATAAAGGACTAAAAATGAGTTTGAAAATCGTCAGTCAGAAAAATGAAAAAATTGTATTTGTTGACAAGGTCATGGTATCGACCATAGAACTTACAAAATGAAGACATTAAGGCTGGTATTCTTGTATCACTGACTTGCTTGTCACTAATTTACCTCGTTAAAAAATATTCATAAGTAATGCATGCTCTTGCATATCGAATTAAAATTTTAGCGGGCTACCATCCAAATGCCAAAATAAGCTAAAATTAGCACCCCGCTAAAATAACCCGCTATACGGTTTAAGGTGATACATGTTGGTTTAGGTTACAAACATCAGACGCATTTTCATTATTTAGATGACCCGAAATTAAGCTGCAATTATTTTATTTTTATTCTATTTTGACATCGTTTTGAACGAATAACTATTAACAGCAATGTGTTTTGGTGGTTCTTCCTCCAACACTTTAACTTTCTTCCCCGCAGTCAAGCATTTAACGCATATATCATTTCCTATTTCTAACGCAAAATTACGCATATACCGTTTCCCCTCAAAAGCTCATTTTCACGCACTCTAAAAAGTTCATTTAATCTTTAATTTAATGCCAATATCCTCTTATTTTATACTTGCAATAATCTCATAAAATAAGAAAAGTTATTTTTGTTTTAAGATATCACGTCATAATATCATTTACGCTAAACTTTAGAAAAATATGTACCATGCTTAAAGGTGAAATTGTAAATTTCTATTTCTATGACGTGAACATTAAGTGTATGTTGCATAACAGTTCATTAAGTTGTAAAGAGTTGAAGTAAAGTAAAATTTAGTGGCCGAGTGACTGTAGAACAGAAAGACAGACGAGATTAAAAGATCTTGATCTCGAGGTCATGATACCAATAGTGTTTTACGATTGTGATAAAAATCTGGGAGGATACTCTCCTTGCTTGATCATTATAGATGCATGTTCATGTATAGTTTTCATGCATTAAACAGTGTATCAATAAATTTCTCTATATAAGGAGAATTTTCGATGAAAGAAGAAAACTAATTTTATCAAAGAAATCCTTTGCTGTTGGTGATGTGAAATTTAAAAGCAAATTTTTTTTTGTGAATAGGAAAGACTTTCATGACCAGAAGGGGATTTTGTATAGGCTAGCAAATTTCAAGAGTAGGTTACAAGCCCGTAGCCCCCTCCCCTCATAACTTGCCATGATTATCTCGCATGGTACTTGATTGGAACTCAAATGTGGTATAATTTAACTTTTTTTTTCAGTTTTGTATATTTTGAAAATGCAACTATACTCACCGTCAATGAAAACGCAAGGTTGAAAAATTATATACAGGATATAACTATGTGCCAAACAATTTAGGACATCTTTTACTTTGCCAAATCAGTTATTTAATGGTTGAATGGTTTTCATTCCATTACTGAGAGTTGATTTTTTAGCCCTCTTAACAGATAACATTTAAATAAAACACCCCCTTCCGACCATTTAAGCCCCGTGGGGATCCAGTTAGAATAGGTCCTCAGTACCCCCTTGCTTGTCGTAAAAGGCGACTAAATGGGGCGGTCCTTCGGATGAGACCGTATAAACCGAGTCCCGTGTCACAGCAGGTGTGGCACGATAAAGATCCCTCCCTGCTCAAAGGCCGTAAGTGCCGAGCATAGGCCTAGATTTGCAGCCCTTCACCGGCAATGGTGACGTCTCCATATCAGTGAAATATTCTGGAGAGGGACGTTAAACAGTATATATACAATCAATCAATCAATCAATCCGACCATTTAATCAAAACATGCTAGTCCGCCATGTACATATACATGTACGTAGTCCGATTTCTACCATGCATTAGGTTTATCAATGTCTTTATCTGAGCGAAATAAATATTCTTGGTCATTTTTAATTGCCTTTTGTTCAGATACTGCGGTCGAATTTTCTCTAACTTGGCGTAGTGTAGTAACTCTTGGACTTCCGGTCAAGAAACTGTTATTTATGCTATTTAAAAACATGAGCCTGATGAGTCGTTTAATAGTGTACATTTGCATCTGCAGCTCTTTTTTCTTTATTTTGAGAATCTCCAGCATTAGCAATGAATATCAGTCTTTTTGAGGAAATATAGGCATCACATCCGGTATGGAAAGAAGGATTTTTTTCCCGGGATTTTAGTACAGTACTTATGATAAACAGATACAAACCCTTGAAAACCAAAAATATTGTTAAAAATTTTATTAAAAATACAAAAATTTGATTTCTGTGAAGAGGGCTCAAAAGCAACTTCCGGTAGAGGAAAGAAATTCATTCAACCGTTAAATAACTTATTTAGCAAAGTAAAAGATGTCCTAACTTGTTTGGCACATAGTTATATCCAATATATAATTTTTCACCCTAAAATTAGAGTGTTGTGTTTTCATTGACGGTGAGTATATAAATGTGCTCATATTGCAATCATACTTAAGGTAATAAATGACATGTACAGATCCAAATGAATTTAAATTATCATACCTATATTGGACTCCGAGATTCCATTAGAAATACTTACAAACAAAGTTCATCACAGGTTCCAGTTTATGTTCAGACAAGTCCCTTTCTTTACTTCTCATTAAAATATTGATAGCAGTGAAGGAGAAGGAAGAACTGTGCAACAATATATTTGAGAAGAGGTGTAAATCAGACGTGGATAATTACAAACTCCAAGGAACCTTTTGGAAATTTTAAATCATTCAATTTCATTAAAATCAAATTAGTAAAGATTACATCTTTTCAAAATCACTGACACCTGTTTGTTTTTTTTTCTAACATCGTCACTGCTCATGTACAGAATGTTTTGTTAAAAAAAATAGCATGATTGTACACACAAGTACTCTGATGTTCATATAGAAATGCTTGAGTTTCTGATAGAACAATATGCATGAATTTTTGTAGACCAGGCCTTCCAGAAATCTCTTGGAAGGAATTCTCATGAATAAAATGGCACATCGTTATAAGTAGATCAACAATCTATTGGAATTCCCATGGGTATCAATTGTGCCCTGTTATAAGCGGACTTATTTTTGAATTTATATGAAGCAGAATTTAATCAAAAAAGTATGCATGAGGAGAAAATCTAGTCGTTCTCGATATGTTGTAAATAGCCACATTTATATGTGTCCAGTATGTTAAAGCACGCAAAACAATCGACATACTGACAAACTGTATTTTCTTATTGAAAATTGCCTATATTTCATTGTGCTGTGTAGTGTATACATACATCAAAAACTGAAAATATAATAGAATAGTGACATTTAATTGCTGCATTACTTCAGAAACATTTCTCACAGTTAACATAACACTGACAAAGCAGATGTTACAGTACTTTTTGGTTTAAAGACTTTACTTTCTAATGTATCGCTATATTATTTTCAGACAAAAAAACCCCAACATTTTACATGTACTTTTTTTCAAAGATTTTACTTGTAATTATGGCATTACACTCAACTTGATAAAAAAATATCATTATTGTCAACCATTAATCACTCAGTAAAAAAGGAATTGCTTATCTGTCTATCAGAAGAAAATATACATTGATTGAGCAATTCAAGTTTGCTTTAATTCTTAATATCGTTTTAACTATAAAGATTTGTCCACCAATTTACCATGACGGTTAATGTACGAAAGCAGAAAATTTAACTTTTAAGTAGGTGTTGCGTATTTCTCTATGTCATTATTAATTCAGCATTATTTTTCTAGGGTCTAGAAAATGTGTTGAATTAATATTGGGAAAAATTAACGATTAAACTATCAGGCAGTTTTCCTGTCCACATTGGTGACATAAATGTATCATAGTACTTGTTTTTAAAGGATGTGTTTGTATTGCATAAAGAGTAGTATTGTTACACTGTATAAACAGCTGTTGTTAGGATACTATTTTTGACATTTTTCAAAAAAAAATATGAGTAACATTTACTTATAAAAGCAATGCATTCACCCAACATTTACTCAAATCAGATATTTCTGCGTACATTCAAACAGCACCTTTTGGTCACCATGCAAACAAAATTGCTATTCTCGATAGGTATAGTATTCGGCTTGTCAACCCTCACAAACTCTAAAAAAGGTAAGCTTTTTAAACCTATTCATTTCTTTTACTGATAATTGCGTTTTAACATTATTTTTACTGTAATTTCCGGAGTGTCAGCGCACATGCGGCAGCATGGTTAAGTCATCATCAAATCTCAAAGAATGTTCAAAACATAGGTTGCAAAAGCCGACAACAGTTCTAAATTGTTAAGCAAGTCCACTGCAGGAGAATGTTTTAAATATTTCAATGTTGTTTAAAAACAAAGCAAAAAGAAAACAATGATGTTATCATTGTAATCTGGTTATCTTCGCCTCGGTCAATGTTGATATTTTGCTGATGCAACAATATTCATTACCTATAGATTCCATAATTTTATGCATAATACTATGTTGTTTGCAATATATAATAACTCTCTTGTCATATTATGTATTGTGTTGAAGAAGTTAAGCTTTTTTATCATTCACTTCACTATATAACGTACTATTTGCAGTTTGTGAGGCTGGATGGGTTCCATATGGTGACTATTGTTACTACTTTTCGAAGGCAATAAGAACCTTTAATGATGCAGTTGTGAGTTCTTGTATTAATTCTATAAATATATTAACATTAATTACATATATATACCAGTATACTAATACCAAGTTCTTAATATATACCACTGTACTAATACCGAGTTCATTAGATATACAAATGTATTGATAAGTTTTTTTGACTTCGCTACATAATTAAGAAGTACATGTTATGTGTAAAATCACTTTGCCTCATAATAATTAAAGGATAGTAAATCATGCTTAGGATATATATGTTTAAGTTAATTTCGATTTAAGGACACACGAGATGTTCCTTGATAATATATAATATTTTCCAAAAGTTTGTCATTGAAGTATTGCTACTTATACATTTTTACTCTAAAAAAAAATTGAGGTACCTTACCAGACATTTCTGCAAGATACCAGGAATAGGTTTTTTTTTTTTTTTTTTTTTTTTTTATTTTTTATATATATATATATATTTTTTTTATATATAATCCTTTTGAGAAAAAAAAAATTTTCCCATTTCAAATGTTTACGTGTTTGGATTTTTAAAAGATGTTTAGAAACTGGTTTAGAAATCAGAATGTAATTTAAATTTTGAATATTTTTCATAGATTTTGAAGATATACAAAACGTTTATTGAGAAACGTCTCGTATGACCTTAATGTGTAATTGATTTGAAGCTAAGCCAAACTGCCGAGCTTTATTGAATTCAATTATCAAGTTTCCAAACGTTAACATTCCTTAATTGGTGTTATTTGGCACGAATTGTTTGACTCCCAGGGCTCATGTTCTTTTTCATAAGTTTTTGTTAGAAAGTAACTTAAAGTAACTTATCTTAGAATTAAATTGTTGTCCTTAAAATATATTTTACTTTTATTATAAATCGAAGTCAATTTGAATTTTTCAGAACATTTATCTCATAAATATGTTCGGTAAATATCTATTTCATGTAATATCTGATGCAAATTGATCATCTTAGTTGTAGATAATATCATCAATAATTTTATAAAGTTTTCAGAAACCGGTGTAATTATTGATGTTACAGTTCACATACTGTGTAAATGTAAGCGTCAGAAAAAAACATCACATCTTTTGAACTTGTTTTCTTTCTCAGCTCTATAGAATCTGAATACAAATTATACTTGTTGATACCTTGTTGTTTACTTCATGACAGAGAATACGTGACATTTCATGAATGTATATTTTCCAACTCTTTCATAGCAGTGAATGCAATTTCAATTAAATCCTGCACATACAGCTTTGAAAGACGCTTTATATGTAATGTTTTAAATAAGAGATTCAATCTCAGTGTACATGTTTTGCAGATGTATCATACTGCTAAATAAAAATGTTCAAATCGCATGATGTGGAGTTATAGCGAAAATGCCTCGTAAGGAATTAACTAATGAGAAATAATCAAGAGCGTTTATCAAGACAACAATTTTCGGGATAAAAAATTGCTAATTTGTCTGCTTGCAAAATGACTTAGATTTCGATTTTGTTATAATCATGTTCCGTTGCTAATTTCAAAGTTTATAAAATGTTAAAAAGTCAGAGTAAGAACTTGATCAAATTCATGTAACAAGAGATCTGTATTATTAGTTCACATTTGTTAAAATTTAAATTACCTTTTCAGCCAAGTTGCTATGGAGTTAGTGCAGTTCTAGTTGAACCAAATACAATTGCAGAGGAAAGATGGATGCTTCTTCAAAGTGTGGTTAGAGGTATTTACACAATTTTTATTTGATAGTATAACTTGTAACGTTACAATATGTACATGTATGTAAGAAGCCTGTGGATGATATTTTAAAAACATATCTGGCGGTCACCACATATTTTTTCTGGCTGCTGCAATAAATTGCCCTCTCCAGTTAAATTCCAAGCGTCTGTCATTGAAATACCTCGTAGCCTCCAGATGTAATTCAGGTTATCTAAAAAAGTGCGATGATTAACTCCAACAGAGTTATGCTCTTGTCTTTGTTCTACTGTAAAAAAAATGACATCTAGTTTTAATCAATCATTGGGTCCCCCGCGTGGCACATGGGTTAGAGCGTCTGCTCTAGAGTCGCGGAATAAAGAGTCTATTCTTACGTCGCGGGTTCGAATCCCACTGTAGGACCTCGGATAAGACCGTATAAACCGAGGTCCCATGTGTCGCAGTAGGTGCTGGAACGAACTAGATCCCTCACTGCTCAATGGTCCTGAGTGCCGAGTATAGGACAAAATTTGCAGCTCTCCACCGGCAAGTGGTTGGGTCTCTATACATGTGAAAAAAATTCTCGAGAGGGATGATAGACAATATACAATCAATCAATCAGTAATTTAGCATTGGATGCTGTTTTAAGAGAAAGTTTTTGATTTAATAGCCTAAGGAAGTGTATGAACAATTATTGACGTTTTCCCTTTGTGTTTTATTTCAGGCATTAAAAACATTTGGATAGGCGTCACCGATCTGCTGGAGAACCATACTTTCGTTTATATTTCTAACGGAAACAATGTTCAGGAAGCATACAACAACTGGGATAAAGGCCAGCCTGACCCGGGGAACACAGAACATTGCGTTGCCCTCGCTGATGAATACAAAGGATGGCATGATTATTCTTGTGGACAGAAGTTTCATTTTGTGTGCAAAAAACCAAAAAATTAGTTGTAACCTTCTTTATCAACATCAACTACATTAAAATGCGATGAAAGAAAAGAAATAAAATAATCAATCTTTACATGCTGTTACTTTTACATGTATATACACAACTGATAATTTTTTTGGGAATTGTAACTTAAAAAGAGGACGAAAAGATAAAATTAATTTGGTTTAAGTAATTTTTGCAAATAAGCATATTATCTTTTTTTAAGTAAGAAGTATAAACACTTTTCTCAGTAAGCAGTATCTTTAGAGATTAAAAGTCCTTTTTAAACTGCACAAGGTATTTGATAACTTAAATAAATCGGAAGGAAAATGAAGGGGAAATTATGTCCTGGGAAATATCTTAACTATCTGAAACTCATCACTATTAATAAAACCTGTAATTTCTAAATGACGAATTAGATCGTACATCCATCTGAAGATGTTTCAGCAATGATTCTATCACGTAATGCTATATCATCACCATAATCGGGTCATCCTGATTATGGACTCCAGCATGAAATAAACCTTTCTTTACCTCCAACACTGAAGTTTGAGGATGGCAGATTCCTGAATGAGATAGGGTCGACAAAACCCGAGAGCTTTGGCTATGCCAGTACGAAGACACACCAAGCGGAATAAATCTTCAATATCTGAGGGTCCTTCCACACCAGAGCGCCTCACATGTGTAGGGGAGTGGCTTTGATTTCCCAACCTGTTTAAAATACATGCAGAAACAGACACAATCCGGTTTCCAACTTTTATCATATTAAGGATGAATTCTTCTGATCATTTTACCACAAGTGGGTCTTCGTACGTAAACATGTCGTAAAATTCAAACTGACAACAATTTACAAACAAGTTTGTAAAGTTTTTAAGATTTACATGTTGAACTATATTGATTTTTAAATAAAATTTCTTTCTATGTTGTATTGATGACCAAGACGTGTGCACAATAACGATATTTACGACACAGGCCTAAGAAAGTCGACAAGTGAAATCGACATGATCGAGAGGGGAAGAAGACGGGATCTCCCGTTTCAAAGCGACAGGAATGTCCAATGGCACTCCGTTAAAAGAGCCAACCGACAGAAATTTTAAAACATTTAAAATTCGCCGATATCACAATCAGGACATGTACATTCCCGATAGCGGCGCCCCAACCATGCAAGCCAAGGGCGTCGAAGTGTGTTGACGACGTTCCAGTAGCAGTGGAAAAGCGAAAATGTAGGTTTCCAATGCTTTCAAACTTATTGAAATATCAATGTTTATGCATTATAGATACACATGTTTCAAAATATCTAGTATATACTGTCACATCGCAAACTGAAACATAGCATAAACATGTTACATACAGACATGAGGGGTATCAGATTCGTACAGACGACAGCATTCGTATTATCCTTTTTTATTGCAACTTTAACTCGTAGTACATGATAAATTTCCTTTGATATTGTAAATACAGAATATCTATCCCAAATTTATAGAAATACCGTACGAAATAATAAGATAACATCTATAATTTTTAGCTGTTTACATTCGATAAGAAACTAGGGAGTGGGGTCTGTCAGCCTACATCCGACCTGTACTCGGCACTGCTGGTACCGGACATCCACGACTGTACCTGTTCACTAATAGTCAGAGCAAAAATTTCCGGATTGATACGCCATCAACGCAGAGTATATGTAGTTAATTACAAATTATTTTGAATGAAAAATAGGTTATGTATATAGTATATTTCTGATTTTAATCAAAGGCGGATCCAGGGCCGGCGCGCCGGACATGCCCCCCCCCCCCTCCCCCGTTCTGTTTGAATTTTTTGTATGTAAAACTTATATATATATATATGTCTTTTATCCTAAAATCAAGGAAAACACCTCTTATTTGTAAAGTTTGTCAGCTTCATGGGGTTCCTCCCCCGGACCCCTACCAGGGCCTTGCTCTAGAACTAATTGGGGCTTCAGTGCAGCGCCCAGATCACTTACCTTTCTACCTTTTATTGCCCCCCACCCCCCCCCCCCGGGGGGGAACCGCTACGAAATTGCTGAATTCCCCACTGTGAATTAAATATTCTTTAAGAAAGGCTATGATCGCCAATTTATTAGTAATAAATGGCTAAGTGAAGTACATAATTTATATCGAGGAAATTAAGTATAAACTTGACTTTACCTATCTATTGTATGGATCGCTGATATCTCTAAAAAGTAACATCTAGGCCACACTTTATATCTAGGACTGTACTTGTATCTGTGATTTTTTAAACAGCAACTGCGACTGACATGTGCCGTGCAAACACATTTTTTTCAACAACCGAAATTGATTAACAGCATCCACTATTAAAACCCTGCCAGGGATGTGGTCCTTATAATTCACTGATAGTCTTTGACTTTTAAAACTTCATACGGAGACTTTCCAAGTCATACCAATTTCAAATAGATAATAATGTGGTTTTGAGGAGGGTCTGCGTTTTTTAGGGGGTGGTTCTAAAGTCACATTTACTCTGCAAATTCTAAGGGGGGGGGGGGCTCCAGATCCGCGCATGTCAAAATATCAATGTTTATAAGATACCGAGACAAACGAGGTCAGCAGTTTTGACTGAAGGATCTTTTTACAGATGTAAAATTATAGCTTTAAATCTGTGATCAGAGATCAATATGAACTAGATATATTTTTTTCATTCGCTGAAGCAGAGATGTGATGACTTGGATAGAGAGTCATTAGATGACACCGTAACTGAAGAAACTCACCTGAAAACACCATACGTGCCTCAGTTAGCGAAATCTAAAAGCATGGAGGACATTCAGTTGCCTCATACACCAACAAAGACCCCTAAAACTGCACAGACAACTGGTCCAAACAATCAACAAAAAAATGTCCTTTCTCCTCAACAAAGGGTATCCCAAGACAGTAAATCCATGGATCAGAAATTTGGAGAAATTCATGTCTCCCTTGGGACTTTGGATATATCCATGAAAACACTTGTTAAAAAAATTAGTTACTTAAGTGTCTCCAATATGAACATGCCTGAAAACATAACTATAAAAATCTGTGAGATGTTGAACAATCATATATCATTTGGGGGGAGGGGGGGGGGAGCTGGGGGAAATATTTGAATATCCTATACGTGCTCAATGCTAATGATGAATCATAAACCACGCAAGTAGTGTCAACTAAAACATATAAAATGATTGATAGAATCTTGTGTAACTTAAATCTTGTATATATGCAGGTAGAATAAGGCTCATACATGCGTTTTCAATGTTTTTTAAAATAAGCATCTCAAATGCACCCCGGGAAAAGCCTCCAATGAATTGAAATGAAACTCCTGTCAAAACTATTATTTAGTTATAAATTTACAAAGTACACGATATTTACTAGGCCACAGGTTGCAAAGATGTAAAGATAAGTTAGAAATAAATTCTTTAAAAAAATACATGGACCTACCATTGACCACTTGCTCGGTCGCTATGTCGATTACCGGTATGATTGCAGATACCTGAAATATACAGGTATGGTAGCAAAATTATTAAAGTTCATATTAATGGAAATGCGATGCTTTATAATGACTGTACCTGTGTAGTATACACACTATATTCTACATCCCTGACTGTAACTGTGACATACTGAGTAAACAACATCCCTGACTGTACCTGTGCCTTATAAACAACATCTCTGACTGTACCTGTGCCTTATAAACAACATCCCTGACTGTACCTGTGTCTTATAAAACACATCCTTGACTGTACCTGTCACTTATAAACAACATCCCTGACTGTACCTGTGTCTTATAAACAACATCCCTGACTGTACCTGTGACTTATAAACAACATCCCTGACTGTACCTGTCACTTATAACAACATCCCTGACTGTACCTGTGACTTATAAACAACATCCCTGACTGTACCTGTGTAGTATACACACTTTATACTACATCCGTGACTGTACCTGTATCTTATAAACAACATCCCTGACTGTACCTGACTTATAAACAACATCCCTGACTGTACCTGTGTAGTATACACACTTTATACTACATCCCTGACTGTACTTGTGTCTTATAAACAACATCCCTGACTGTACCTGTGTCTTATAAACAACATCCCTGACTGTACCTGTGACTTATAACAACATCCCTGACTGTACCTGTGACTTATAAACAACATCCCTGACTGTACCTGTGTAGTATACACACTTTATACTACATCCCTGACTGTACCTGTGTCTTATAAACAACATAACTGACTGTACCTGTGTCTTATAAACAACATCCCTAACTGTACCTGCGTCTTATAAACAACATCCCTGACTGTACCTGTGTAGTATACACACTTTATACTACATCCCTGACTGTACCTGTGTCTTATAAACAACATCCCTGACTGTACCTGTGTCTTATAAACAACATCCCTGACTGTACCTGTGACTCATAAACAACATCCCTAACTGTACCTGTGTCTTATAAACAACATCCCTGACTGTACCTGTGTAGTATACACACTTTATACTACGTCCCTGACTGTACCTGTGTCTTATAAACAACATCCCTGACTGTACCTGTGACTTATAAACAACATCCCTGACTGTACCTCTGTCTTATAAACAACATCACTGACTGTACCTGTGTAGTATACACACTTTATACTACATCCCTGACTGTACCTGTGTCTTATAAACAACATCCCTGACTATACCTGTGTCTTATAAACAACATCCCTGACTGTACCAGTGACTTATAAACAACATCCCTGACTGTACCTGTGTAGTATACACACTTTATACTACATCCCTGACTGTACCTGTGTCTTATAAACAACATCCCTGACTGTACCTGTCACTAAAACAACATCCCTGACTGTACCTGTGTAGTATAAACACTTTATACTACATCCCTGACTGTACCTGTCATTTATAAACAACATCCCTAACTGTACCTGTGTCTTATAAACAACATCCCTGACTGTACCTGTGTAGTATACACACTTTATACTACATCCCTGACTGTACCTGTGTCTTATAAACAACATCCCTGACTGTACCTGTGTCTTATAAACAACATCCCTGACTGTACCTGTGTAGTATACACACTTTATACTACA